AAGATAATTGAAATTTTATGTCTCCAAGTATTCACTTTTTAGTTTCATGTCTAAAGCGCCACATGCTGTTTATCTTAAGTTTTTGCCTCAGGCGAGGAATGTCAGGTTTGTTATACATCACAAAGCGTTTAATTTAATTTTACATATATCGCAATGATTTAAATTTAGTATAAAAATAAGGTTTCTGATTTTAGTCTAAGCGACTGTTTTGAGGAAGTTTGGCGTATTTGTAGAATAATTTTCAGCTACTTCTATACATGCTGATGTAAAATGCAAAGTGAGTAATGTTTTTCAATATAAATGAATTGTAAATGTTTCATGAAGTATATATAATAAATTAGTTTTGTAATTGTAAAGGTTTCTGATGAATTATGCGTCAAACGCAGAGCAATTTCTTGCGTACTTGTAAAATTTGAATTCTTGATGTATACATGAAAGGTTTAAGTGCAAGCCTAGCAAGTTAAGATAAAATAAGTTAAAGCTATCGGTACGAATGCTAAAATGAAAAGGTAGTCTCTCCTGTCAGAAGTAAAGTGAAATAAACTATTTAGTTAGCACATTAGTAATAGTTTGGAAATTTAAAGTGTGTGTGTGGGGGGGGGGAGTCGGTCACTGGTTGTGGGAGTGACTGTCAGGTCTGTGTTGAGTGGCTTCAGGTAGCGTATCTGACTACTTATAATGATTGGGTAAGGTTGCATAGTTGCGTACTCCATCTGCATTTTAAACTCAAACATATTTATTATTATTACTAGAACTCTTTATATACACAAACACACACACACACATATATATATAATTTATAGATAGCATAGATAGATATTACATGAATTATAGTCCTCGTAATGTGAGGAGACTCTTAACGAATTTCTCTCTAGTAAGAGCTCAAGAGCATCGTAGGTCTCTTGTAGGTATTTTTCGGAAGCAGGCAAGATGAAAAATTAGCAATGCCTTCGCCGGAAATCGAACCACGGACCCCTCAATTACGCGCTGAGCTTGTAGATCACCACACCACGAAGGCATGCGAAGAAGGCTGGAGAAATACCTTATATACTCCCCCCTTTTAAAGGGCGACTGGGGTTTTTAGGGGACCCAGTCGCCAAATCCTGGGCGAGGACAATCATCATCCAACACCCTTTTAGTTCGGGCGCCACTGTAGAGACATTAGGTATTTTTGGAAGCATGTAAGATGAAAAATTAGCAACTCCTTCACCGAGAGTCGACTGCGGACCTCTCAATTAAGCACTGAGCGTGCAAACCACCACACCATTAAGGCTCGCTAAGAAGGCGGGAGAAATACTTTATACTCTCTAGTCGAGCGTTCTCTTCATGTTACTCCGATGGCGAAAATCTTCAGACTGAATTAGCCACGCCTTCTTAATTTTACAGTAGCATTTTACATCCTCTGATTCGTTATATCTAAAACGATGTCAAAAGAAAAATCAGATCACCCCTCCTGAAATCGAGAGGCTTTTACGACAGACACGGTGCAGAATGTTAAAATCTCCTGACACTAGGCATGAAGTTATGACTCTGCCATGTTAAAAACACACATCGTGTGACACATCGAAAAGTCAGGGAGCCCTGAATTGCAGGGACCGCACACACGATCCACTTATCTTTGTGTGATCCGCCGAAAGTGTTCTTTGAGGTTTAGTGTGTCTAAATTATTTAATATGTAGAATTTAGGTCAGGTGGTGTCGTTGAAATATTTTTACAATACCACACACTCTTACTTTCCAGTACAAGGAAAAGAATTAAATGCTAGAAAGAATGCACAGAGTGAAAGTTTTCCATGTAATGTAAATGCGAAAGAACCTTTTGAAAGTGAAATATAGTGTCAATTGTGGGAATTGTGTAAGCTTTATCGCTAAATTATTTTTCCTTCCATATACCTGGAAGAACAGCAGTTTTATTTTAGAATATGTGGAGCTGTTTATGAAATTATATCCTGTGGATTTCAATAATTTAAATTTTACTTAGTTCGTAAAATATTGATTGTAATAACTTGGCTCATTTTTAGGTAACATTATTCTTAAAGTTTAGAATAAGTCTTTAAAGACCTTCTTTGTGATTACTTAAATTCTGGTGTGAAAAACTGTACGGTTATTACTATTATTTATAACTTTTGAATTTTGGGCAATGGTTTCTTTTACACTATAATGCGAGGCTCCATACAGTGTTGTCTGTACGATAGTATCTTGCTAAGCATTCAATTGCAGTAATAAATCCCCCCCCGCCAATATTCTCCCGACTGATTGCCAACTGATTTTTTCCTTTTCCCGAAGCTTAAAGAGGCCACGAAAGGACAGAGATTTGAAAATGTCTTGGATATTAAATTAAATATGATGCGTTTTTTAGGAACGTTTAGTTCCAACACCTATAAAAAGCGTTCCGATAACTGGAAAACGTTGGAAACGTTGGAAAAATTGTACAGGCTCCTCTGGTGATTATTACGAAGGAGATAAATTCATTTGAATGTTAATAACCTTTTCAATATTAATACGAAATTGTCTGGTTACTTTATGGGCGCATTTCGTATAATTAAGGGACTGGTGGAGCATATTGTTACGAGATGTCCAGGTGCGATAAGATCCCGGAAAGTAGGTTTAGGGTGCCAGAAAGTGGAAAGGGTAGGCAAAGTTGAGATATTTGGCGAGAAATCGCCTATTTGGCGACAAAATTGGCTATATGCCATTGACGGATGATGAACTTTCTGGAACGAATTCTTACTGGTTTAGCCCAGAATGTTCTCGAACGCAAGCCAAAAGTTATATAAACCCTGCTGGTACGCAAAGAGTTAGTGTCTCGTCGAGTGAGTTGATAGTCAATGAGTGCCTAGTCGAGTCAGCTAAGAATGAGTGAGCGAGTGTCTCGTAGTCTAGTGTCGAGTTGGTCATCGAGTGCATCGAGAGAGTCTCTTAAGGTATAGCGAATTAGTACATCGTCGAGTTTTCATCTTAGGATGTGTTGAGCTCCGAAAACGACCGAACTATAAACACGTCGGGAGCTGTACTCTGGTGTATCGTCTAGTGCATCACGAGTTGCAGCGTGGAGAGTCTCTATAATACGTAGAGTTCCGAGAATGACCGAGCAAAATCGGGAACTGTACTCTGTTACTTTGCCGTGAAGCTGTCTTCACCGTTATAGCGTGAAGGCTGTGTCGCTTATGCGTGTTTATAATAGTTCTTCGACAACCCTAAATGTGTCATTGGAGCTGTCTTGAATAATACTGGCTAATGAATTGTGTTTCGATACTTCATTAAGTGTCGTTGTTGTTTGCAAATCCACGAACCCGTACGTAAGAAGAGAAAACGCAACAATATAAAAATTGTAATTTTTACAAAACCAATTTTCAATTTAAAAATGCTCAAACATGACTATTTACGTCATTAAAAACATTTTTCGATTGCTAATATATATTTTCGATCAACGATTGCGGTAACAAAGACTGGGTAAAGACCCTTATTTGAGGCGGCATATATTATACCTTGCAGCTACTGAACGATAATCATGTATTGTATTTCGCATTTTTAAGCCAAGGGAAAATACTTCTATTTTGATTTTAGTAACATTCTTAGTAAAAATTTGGAATACGAAAGCAGAATATAATCAATAAGTAAAATAATTAAATGAACTTCAAAGTGAAGAGTTCCTAAAAATATAGTTTGATATTGTCCATAATTTATCACATTTTCTTTTCATATCGTATCTTATTTAGTTATTTTCCTGTAGTCAGTAAAATAAGTAAGTTAAATAAAATGAAACCCGCGGCGTACTGTAGGTATTTCTGCACTTCTTGTACAAAATAGTGATAATTTTTGCGCTCCTCTAAGCATTAAAAGTTGTTATCGAAACGAAAAAAAAAAAAAAAAAAAAAAGAAAAGAAAAGAGAAAAAAAAAAATATAAACTGCAAAAGAATGTATTACGTCTTTTCTTCATAAACACTTTCTTAATTTTTTTTTAAGTACTTTGGGCTTTTTATTTTTCTTATTCACGAGATTTCTTTATGATATCTTGTTGACAGTTCATTCTGCATACTTTTCTTGCATTTTTCGCTCTTGCCGCTTCAACAATATTGTGCTATTTTGGCACATTATTGTTTGCCAGTATTATTTCAGAAACTTATCGTGGAAATATTACCTGTTAACTGTACACAGAACTAATTAAGCTTAGATTTATGTCGAAACAAGAAACATGACAAGTCAGCAATGCCCTAGTTGCTAGCCTGACGTGCTTCCAGTTATTTTACGATGGCACGCCATAAAGAAGGAGGAAATTTCTTATAAGTTTACTCAATAATTGAGAGCTCGAGTAATTTCTAGTTAAGGATTAATTTCTAGTTAAGGATGAGACGTGTATGATTCGATATGACCTGATTAATATCGGTGCGCCCACTAGCGGCCGAGCGGTAAAATCGCTGAACCCTGGTAGTTCGGTCCGAGGTTCGAAACCCGCGAACGGGCTGGCTGCATGGGCGTTTTCGTGGTTTTCCCCATGTGTAACGTGTATAAGAGCCAGTTTCCCTTAGAAAGTCCTCCACGAAGGCATCTCTTCCCTTAGGCATATACTCCTAGTGTGCTTTGCCATATTCTCAATACACACACACACACACACCATAATATTGGTGCTTTCTTTACTTAAGAGAGACCGACCAGAGGCCAATGGAAAAGTCGCTGAACACTGGTAGTTCCAACCTGGATTCGATTCTGCATGAGCGTTTTCGTGTTTTTCCCCATGTGTAACGTGTATTCGAGCCAGTTTTTCTTTAGAAAGTCCTCCACGAAGGCATTCGTTCCATTCGGCGGATAGCCCCAGTGTACTTTGCCGTAATCTCAATGAACCAATTCTACTTAACATAGCAGAGAACTCATTATACAAATAGGAAATATTTCAATCTATAATTTTTTATGCTTGAAATTAACTATTAATGTTTTATATTTTTCAATGGTTTAAATGATTTAAAGATATTTATCTGTTTGATATCTGATTTCAGATTTCTTTATTGGTCCCGCTCTTTTTCTAAAGAAATATAAAAGAGAATTTCCATCTGAAAAAGAAAGGTTAAAAAAAATAGAAATTAATCAGAAAGCGACGCCTAATAAGTGAAGAAAAACAAATTTCATTTTGCAAATGACATGATTTCAGATCTTAAAATAAAAACTAGATTGAAATCGTGGCAGTAATTTCACTTAAAATATATCTCCAAACTCCTAATTTTCTTAAAGTGATTCTAAGACAAAGTGGCATAATTAGAAACAATATGTCTTGCCTAAAAGAAAATATAGCAGTTGATAATTAAATTTGTTTAGTATTTTGTTTTCTGAATGACACCATTTTAATCAAGCTAAACGTCAAATTCTACACAAACAACTGGGGACAAAAAGCAAATAAAAAAAGAGTGATGCAGTTTCGATTTTGCGACCCCGCTTATTCTAAGTGAAAAAACGTGCCAAAGTGTAAAAGGGAATACAATTTATTACCAAATTTATTCCTTGCTCATTTTTCTTGTTTTTTGCAGCACACATGCTTCTTTTTTTTTAATAGCAAGTTCAGATTAGTGGGAAAAAAAGTCCCACCCTTGTCTTTTCTGCTTTTTAGTGTCTTCGTGTTGTCATAAATAACACTTAACTCCTTCACTTGTCAAGTAAATGTCACAAATTATGCTAGACGCCATCTTTTATTCCGAAACAGACGATTTTCCTAATTGTTGACTCGGCAACTCTTGTTGTTCTTCGAAAGAAAAATTATGGTACTTTTGCCCTTTTCTTATACAGCTTACGTATTAAATTTTTTTTTTACAAATTTTATTTTCACAAAATGTGCGTTTGGGCTCTTACGACATAAAATGGTGGAAATTATGCAACGCTTCCTGTTGCTTCTAGAAATTTATGAGACTTGTCAAACTGAAGTGAAGAATTTTCTGTTATTGTATTGATTCTGTAAAAGGAAAAGAATTACACAGAACTAGAAAACATAATATGTTTTAATTTCTTTTGTTCCAGGCAGTAGCAGATAATCTCTAGAAATTCTTAAACGGTCGCTACTTTAAATAAATTATAAAGCTATATAACTGATTTCTCGAGTTTTGCATCCAACAAACGAATTGAATTGGGTTGAGATAGTATCTGATATCAGCTTTAGTTACTCATAGTTTTTGTATTTCAATCTCTAATTAAATGTGGTTAAAGAAGAAATCTGTCTAAATACACATGCATAATAAGAGAAAAACAAAAAACAGAATTAGGAAAATCTGAGGTTATTAAGAATATTGTAATAATTTAATTTTTATTAAATATATAATAAATATCTTAGTTGTTACATTACAAAACTGCTGCAAAATAAAATGGAAAAAGCTCGTTCTAAACATACATCTTTTGTCAGATAAGTTCTAGGACAAAGGTCGTTAAAAAAAAAAAAGAAAATTGCATTTACCAGGTGATGATCCTAGCTGCTATCAAAGTAATCTCCTTGACTATCTATACAGAACTGCCAAAGTTTCTGGAGGTCTTGTAAGCAAGCAGAGAAATTTTCAACTGCGATGCTTGCAAGCTCATTAGCCACAGCCCGTTGGATGTCTGCAATAATCTTAATAAAGCTTTTCTTTCAGTCACATTTTCACTCACGTAAACAAGAAAAAATCACAATAATCTTTGACACAAATAATCTTTGACTCAAGAATCTTTGACTGGCTCTATCCAATAGTTTAGCAGAAATTCTTCATCTTACCTCTTCCTGTTCATCTGTTAGTGAGTGAGGGATTATTCTTGCATTAAATACCCATAAATCTTCACGTAAAATTTTATGACAAACATAAAGATTCAAATTCCGTTCCTCAGATATCATATCCACAGTTACACGACGGTCTTCTTGCAATAACTGCCTTACACGCTCTACGTTTGCATTGGTATGTGCTATAGACGGGCGACTAGCTCTGGAATCGTCTGGCACTGAATCTCTGCCTTCAAGAAACCTTTTGTACCACTCAAAAGCACGACTTCTTGAAAAGGCCTCACCTGCATATGCTTGCTTAATCATGTTCCACATTTCACTAGGTGTTTTCCCAAGCTTAAAGCAGAACTTAATGTTCACTCTTTGCTTACAATCAGCTCCATTGTGTCAACGAATGCGACAACAATCCGAACAGTGTATTGCTAAGCACAGCCTTACCAACTAGAAAGTTTGCGTGGAAACATAGGCAAGGTCATGTCAAGTAAGAATGATACCGGGTAACATAAGAACAACATTTGTTGTTTTTAAATACTGCAAACTCATAAATAAAAAAAACTTGTCCTGGCAAAGGATGTATTAAGGTATCACAGAGTTGTTAGGTGTAAAATGCATGCAGTTAAGAATATATTTTATTACATACACTGATGGTACAGTTATTAGTCCAAAGGGACAATTTGCCCTGAATGACTATTAATTTTGTTTTGGCATTTTGCGTTGATTCACTGTAAATGTCGGTTCACTTTTCAAATTGTTGCCACTAAATATTATCGTCCCGTGTTATATTTAAAAAAAAAATTAAATAATGAAGAATCTCCATAAATGTATGTGTGTTTCTCACATTGGGATAAAAGAACGGTACCTAGACCCATAAAATTTTAAAATAGCGTAATCTTCTACCGAATATGGTCATCAGGAAACCCAAATTTGGAATTTGAAATTTGTTTTATTATCGCTTTCATATTTTGTAACACTTTAACGAATTTTTCATTACCAAACTCAACGATTTCAAAGAGAGCAATGACAACAATGTATATATGTATATATATACGTAAAATTTAGACTGCGTATCGGAAATTCTAAAGCTTTGCTCCTTTTAAAATTTTTTTTCGATATTGCTGTTGAATTAAATTAAGAAATGTCCCTTTGTGCATAAAGTAAAATCTGAAAGCTTTCAGACTTTTTTTTATAAATTTTATTAGTAATTGCAGCCAGTAAGTGTATCATTAAAATGTATTGACTGCATAATTGATTATGAATTATGTGCATTGTTTTAGAACCCTAAATTATTTATTTATATAAAATGAATGTATTTATAAGAATATATATTATTCTGAAGTTCCGGCAAGTGCCGCCTCTACATCGTTGCAGGTAATGAGAATCAGGTGCGATAATAAGTAATGATATGTAAGTCAAAAATATTTAATTAAATTTTTTTTTGGCGCGCGACGAATTTTGATAACACAACATAAGCTTTTAAACAGAGATTACCATCCTTTTTTGAAACAGGCGTGAGATAGAAGGAAAAAAGATATTGCTTGCAAAAATAACTCCATTCTTGAAGCGAAGAAAAAACGAATTCCTACGGTGATCGCATTGTGACTTCAAAGTGTTCTACTTCAAAGTGTGACTTTTATGAAAGCATAAAATACCGACATTGATTGATGCAAGCATATTTATTTAAAACTGCAGTGCTTAACATATTCCGAAATTTAATAAGATACATGAGTTTGGTGATCTTTGCACATTTCAGCAATATTAGGTCAAATAAATGATAATGCCTCTCGCTTCTCCACTTCTAAATTTCTCTCGCGTTTCTTTGTTTCATTAATCGTTGTTAAAAATCTTGCCTCGTAAAGGTATGATGTGAAAAATAATAATTTGTTTATTGCTTTTTTGCTGGATCCGTTTATTCAGAATTTTTAAGGAATATTTTCAGTTAACTTCAGTTTTAATCTGCGATTTGAAAACAGAAATATGAGTTCTTCATTCAGAATGAAACTGGAGAAACAAACGGATTTCTTATCCAATAAAATTATGCAATATTTAGCAATGGAAAATTTTTCAAAATTTCTTTCAATTATTGTTAAATGTTCGACTATAAAAGAAATTTGTAGGGTTATACCGATGCAGGAATGTGAAATATGTGCAATGCTTACGAGATTCAAAATCCAGATTTTCGTTTGCATTTGCACAGAAGGCAGCATTTCTGTGTTTCTTTCTTTTATGTAGCCATTCCATAGTAATTTTTTTTCATTGCACATAATTCCCAATGTAAGAAAGAATATTTTCATTGTTTTTTTTGCACACTTAAATTTTCAGTATTGAAGTTCTAGAGACATTAGGTATTTTTTTGAAGCAAGAGAGATTGAAAAATGAGCAACTCCTTCGCCAGGAATCAAACCGCGGACCTCTGGAATACGCGCCCTATGTGCAGACCACCCCTACACGAAGGCATGCCAAGAAGGCAAGAGAAATACCTTATAAAGTAAGAAAAAAAATAAGAACAGGTCAAAGTATTGCAACAATTATCATTTTTCAGATATTTTCCAAAAGTTTCGTGTTTTTGTTTCAGAAACAAATCCACAGTCATCTTTTACTTAAAATACATAGTTTAAAAAACCTGTCCACGTGAAAGCAATCTCACTTCTACATGAACAAGCAAACGTTCGTGGTCTGCTTCTGTAGATGAAAAAAGTTTGTTTGTGTTGCTTTTCTTGGATTGCATTTTAATAAAATCAGTCGTGGAAACTATACTTGAAACTATAGTTTCTAAGACATTATTTCTTTGACAAGTACAGTACTTCTCGGGGCAAAAACCAGTGATGAAATATTATGTTTAGATTCACTGTTTTCGCTTAAGACAACCAATCTTTTGACTGATCCGTCCCAGATGCTGCTCCGTCGATACAAATATCAAAACATCGACTCTCTATGGATTTGGATACGAGAATTTTTCTAGCTTAAACACCAAACTTTTAGCTCTGCTGCTTTAATACCCGTTAAATGATTGCGTACACAAGCTCAGTGGTATGTTCGAATGACGAAATAGATAGAGATACTGAGGAGCTTGTCTCGGTTACATAAATTCCATGATACTTTTAACATATTAAAATACGAAGCTATCACTTCAAATGATTATGACCAGTTGTACACTCCAAAAGTTCTTTTAAGCATAAAAATTGAATTATTATCATTTATTCATAAATAAACTGCACAGAATCTAACAGAAACCACTCAGTCTAGTATATGAGGTTATATTTTATAGCATTTAGATGTGTATTAAGTGTAAGAAATATCACATATATAACCAGACGCATTTTCGAATTAAAATCACAAGCAAATATGATTTTACATTGCATTGATTTCTTCTTTGCAATGATTTTTAGTTGCATGCTTGATTTGTTTTGCGAAGTGGCTTCACGGAACATCAATGCTCTGTAGACCACGAATTGAGAACCACTGTGGTTGAGCAGTGTTTTCGTTGCCTGTTTGGAAAGTGATAACCGTTCTTTCAAAGGAACGTGTACGTAATAGTGAGGAATAGTGAGTTATTAATGCAAAAAGGAAGAATGTTTTTATGTATATAACTAATGGTGTCACCATGTCTACCGACGTGTCTGTCTATCCCATAAAACTGATAACTGAGAGAAAAGTGTTTATTCAGGCCACAACATTCCATCCTCATTGAACAGCTATCCGGTATTATTTAGGAATTGTTATAGATCCTTTAATTTGGAATTGATCAATATTCAAATTATAAGGATAGCTCCAATTGGTTACAGCCGGATGAAACATCGCGGACGAAAACGTCGCGGAGAAAACAACGCAAGGCAAGAACGTCGTGCTACAAAACATCGTGGGAGAAAACATCGCAACGAGAAAACATCGCACATCGCAGCTCTAAAACATCGTGGTACAAAAAATCGTCGTCGAAAATTAAGCGGTTCAAAAACTTCGCAGTTTAAAAACATCGTCGGTCGAAAATATCGTGGTAAAAAATAAAGTATCTACAAATCATCGCATGACGATAACATCGCAGACATGCTTCTTTCAGGCTTTAATAACTGTAAATGGATATTCCCATATTGATTTGTGATCGCAAGATGGAAAGAAGGATAATTTTTACTTTCATACTTTTTATTAACTATAAATGTTTGCTGAGAAATAAGAATGAAACTTGAGCATAGAAAATTAATGCAACTTATAGCACTTAACAGAATTTTAAACCGACATAGTTAACTAACAAAGACCATTAATAAATCATTTTTATAAAGTTTTTACTGGTAATTTTTTCATGAAAAGTATAATCTATAATTTGCATTTAATTTTTTATGCTTAAGTTTCCTTCTTACTTTTTTTCAGCAAACATTTATTAGTTAATAAAATATGTGAAAATAAAAATTATCCTTCTTTACATACTGCGCTCACAAATCATTATGGGAAATATCCATTTACAATAATTAAAACCTGAAAAAAGCATGTCTGCGAAGTTATCGTCATGCGATGATTTGTAGATACTTTATTTTTTACCACGATATTTTCGATGACGATGTTTTTAAACTGCGAAGTTTTTGAACCGCTTTATTTTCGACGACGATGTTTTGTAGCACGATGTTTTAGAACTGCGATGTTTTCTCTTTGCGATGTTTTCTCCCACGATGTTTTGTAGCACGACGTTTTCGCCTTGCGTTGTTTTCTCCGCGACGTTTTCGTCCGCGATGTTTTTTCCGCGATGTTATCGGCGGACACCCTCCAATTAACCGGAAGCATGGCTAAAAATCCTCGTAATTTGCTTTGACAATTGAGCAATAATTCGACAAAATTCTATGATAAATCTAATGAGATTGGCCGCATCTTATTCTACATGTAATGATTCAGGGGTAAATAAGTTTACTAAATCAATACTCAATCCAGTTCCAAATAAATTTACTAAATCGAACTATCACAAACAAAATCTGATCACACTTCATTAAATACAAATCAAAGAAAAATCCTTTTCATACTGCTGCCACGTATCGCCCATTTAATTAAATGCCCTTCTTTCTCGATTTTTGCGAAGCTATTCAGCGATAGAGAAAAGTGTTTATTCAGGCCACAACATTCCATCCTCATTGAACAGCTATCCGGTATTATTTGGGACTGAAGCGGGCTTACACTAGTGACGGCTCGGATCCGCCCTTCCATCTGATGCTTAGTCCATGCGTATCAGAAAAGTTCTCTGAAAGCTATTTCTGTTTCTCGTAGATAATATAGTTATATGATCATACTCTATAGTGTATTGTAAATTAAATAGACACTCAGTAGTA